GACAAGATAAACAGACACACATCTCAATAAAATTAATAATAATAAGCTAATTGTCGTCTTGATGTTGAGGAATTGAAGAAACTAGATTTATTTGCAACAAATCAATTCTAAGCAATACAAAGAAAAAAAGGTCCTTGGCAATCTGAGATCTAACATAATTATTAGGGTATATGACAGATGTCTCGATTGAGATACCTCTGCAAAATGAAAATTGGAATTTAAATTTCATATAATTTTCTATCTAACAATTATCATGCAAACTAATTTTCTAAGAATACAAGCAATACGCTCGGCAATAGAGCATTTTTAATGGAATGGTTTGAATTTTTAACCGCTATGTACCTTAATCGCAATGTTGTGGCAAGGCTGGGTATATGGATGGATGAATTGATAATTATGTTGGGTGATGATGGCATATGGTCAGAATATGGATGTTACCTGAGGCTAGAATTATTTTGTATTAAACTCTGACCCTATTATAATGTTAATCATACTCTATGTCTGTCATGGTAAATTGTAGGTTTGGACTAGCTACTTGATGCACGTTTAATTCGTTAAGTGTCTGATTATTTAAAACATATACAAAAATAACCAATTATACATACCTGAGGTCACATTCCTCTGTGAAAATAAAACACAGATATGTAAAACTGATGTCAATTCACATACACATATAAATATTAATGTAACATCTTATAATGCAGCTTTTATATCACACCACATCAAATAGAACAGGTTTCTGAAACTTATTCGAGTGAACACACTATTATGCACAATTACTTATACAATCTTTGTGTTGGTTTGGCAATCCATTTTGTCTTCATATTGTTGATAAATAAGTGATAAGAGCAATATATATCCTCAAGCAAACATGTGTTGTAATGTAATATTTTTTTTGATAGGCAGTGAAGAACCAAAATGTGTTATAAGACGTTATTAAAACTACGTCCGTTGTATGGTATATAGATTTAGAACCATCAAATGAATTTAAGAAACATGAAATATTGTTATCAAATAATAGATTCATACATCCTAATTTCCTTTGCAGTCATTTTTTTTAAATTTAGTCACGTCCATAAATTGACCACACAATCGATACTATTAGGAACCCCATACAAACGCATTTGACTAATCATATGTT